AGGGAGCTTGTCGCAGAGCTCTCAGGTGCCCTGTGACTGAGAGCAGAAATGGCTCGGGAGAGACCCCTACTGGCGGGAAGGGGGAAGCTCAGCTGGAGCTGCGCAGGTGCTGGTTGCTAGGGCAACCAGGGAAACTTAGAGACAGGAAGGGGCGGAGCTTAGCCCTTCTTAAGCCCAGGCAGGAGGCCAGGAGGGCGGCTTCCCTCCAGCAGCCGAGGCAGGAGGAACTCGGCCAGCACAAGGGGAGAGCTCTGATGGTGGGAACATCCCCTGATTCCAGCTGGGGTTTTGGTGTGCTCACTGTCTCTGGTAGGGATGGATTCTTGGATTTTTGGCTGGAAGGTCTAGCTTTTTATGTTATGGCCCGGGGCTTTGTGTTTTTGTGTTTACTGTTTCACCGGAGGACCAGGTGAGGCTATTAGGGGTTGGAGGAGGCCTCATAGGGACTCCACAGTATCGTGGGGGGTCCCTGGCACCGGAGAAGGTGCAGCATTGTTTGGGGTACGTTGGCCTCAGCCCCAGAGTTAGGGGGCAGTGTGAAGCCCTGGAGTTAGGGGGCAGCAAGGAGCCCTGATGGAAGTGGGGCAGCGAGGAGCCCCGGAGCTGACGCTGTCAAGAAGCCCCGGGATAGGCACTGTGAGACAAGCTAGAGGGCGCCGGTGAGGGTGCAGGCTGAGGGACAAGCCCAGGAGCGTCTGCACGGCACAGAGAGTAGGACAGACCTGAACAACACCAGATACATCTGCGAGGCTTGGGCTGCAGTGTAAGGGGAGGAAAGGAGCCACAGATAGTGCCTCAGGCACCGAGACAGAGAATAGGCAGCCTCCCGTTTGATTAAGATCTTCCAATCAAACATAGAACAACAAGGTGTGGCAGGCGAGAAGGCGGGCAGTTGGCCTTTGATCAGTGTTGCGGGACCACTAATAGATGGCCCCGAAGAGGCACAACTGTCACATCCCCACACATTGATGTAGTAGAAAAGCAAACATAAGCAGGTCATGCAGAAGGAATCTAGTTTTGTTAGGTATATAGCTTAACATCCCTATGCTCTTTCAAAAGAACCAGATCTTATATTTTGCATGCAGCAATAGTGCCTCCAGGAATTTTTGCTTCAGAGACTGAGTTTGAAAGAAGCAGCATTTGGAAAATTGACATTAAGTTCACTTTTGAAGATATGTCAAACGTGCTTCTGGGCATGATGGCTGCAGTCGAACCAAGTGCTCAATAATATGCTTCGTTCTAGACATCTGTTTTGTCTGCTTGCTTCCCCAGTGCTTAGAGATAAGTATATGATTAAATGCCTTGTTGGATCAGGGTGAGCATCTCCTAGATGTCCAACTTTATTTTCTTGGCCTTTCTAGAACTATTCTGTTTTTGTTCTCTTTGGGAGAAGGGAGAGATTGGAAAATTCACAAATAATATTCTTCTGTCTAAATGACAGAAGACACTAATAATGGAAAGATGTAACTAGTGGCATATTTGGCCTCTGACTCCCCAGCCTGGGTCAGCTGTGGGGCAGTCTTTTGCATGAGTCTAGAATAGGGTTCTGGAGTCACAGCAAGACACCTTAGCTACTGTTCTGCTTACCATAGAAGGAACTAACTAGTTTAACTATGGGCTTTAATCCATGTATGAAAGGGAAAGGGAGAGAGAAGAAAACTATACATTTACTGGGAACTGGAGAATTGCTGGGCTTTTGATAGCATAAAGTAGGTTTAAAGAGTTAGATACCTTAGGTTGAATAGGATCTAGACCTAAGTGCAATCCTACTCCATCCTATTTGACTCCCTGAAAAAAGCATTGATATGTCCACACATCATCTGAATCTTAAAAAAAACAGTAAAGAGGGTGACCCACCCACCTTTTGTATTATTGCTTAAGTACCAGTTTGGGTATCTAATAGCTGGAATTGGATCTTACCCCTGGTCAGTCAAAACCTTGTATATTGACTTCTCATATCCGTGACTTGATTTTCATCTGTATTTGCATCATCATTGTTCATTCTGCTTTAAGTCCAGTGACTCTTTATTTACTTTTCAAATTTCTCTTCCTTTTTTGGATCTTTAAAAATTTAACCTAAAAACCTTTTGAATGGCTTCCTTTTTAATATAAACCTTGTACATACTTAAAGTCCATTAAAACTGAGCTTCAGAACCTGATCCTGAGCAGTACTAAAACATGGTATTCTGTTCTATAATAGAAACTTGTTTATTGGCAATGTGTAAAAGCATGTAATCTATTTATTTATTTTTAAATATACAGCTACAAAACTGGCCAGTTCCTGCTTGGTGATTTGACAGAGTACACTTTTAATGAGACTGCTGATCTGTAACAAAAAGATTATTGAAAGACTTCAGCTGATAAACTGGAGAAGCAGAAAGGGCCAAACAGCCAACTCCCTCAGCCTCCTGTTAGGGATCATGTCTAAATAATAACTTCTATCACTATACTTTCTGTATGGAAAATGTAGCTCCTTTGGCATCTGTGGTCATTGTAGGATGTGGAACTACAGACTGTCAACAAGATATTCCATGGGGCATTAGATAAAGGGTCTGTCTAAACTGTAGTCACAGCAGTGACTGCAGAGTAGTGTAGTAATTTTTAAATACACTAGCTTGTGTAAAGGTAGTAGTTAGTTGTTTGAAGATGCAAATTTTAAAGGTATGCAGGCACCTAGCAGGATTTTCAATTTGACTTGAAGAACACTTTATGTAATTTTTTTCTACGCAAATAAATCATTTTTTTTTAAAAGAATAAGTTCAGCCACTGAACGTTTTTACTTAATCACTGAAGAAAATGGAAAACAGAGAACTATCATTATATTTAGAATTGTTGGGTTTTTTATAGAAGAGCACAAGTAGGTACCCATTACTCTTTCCCTGATGTAACTGCATATCAACTAGACCTGTACTAATTTCAGATATTAAAATACTGAGCTGAAAAACAGGATTACAATTGTTGATTGATATTTTTTTTCTCTCCAGGATTATGATGGGTTTTTTGAATCGAAGGAAAGCAACACTGTCTTCTCATTTCTTGGGCTGAAACCTAGCACAGCATCAAAGGTGACCATTAAATTACAGACCTTTATGAAATTCCTCTTGCGATCTTTAGCTTTGAGAAAAGTAGTAATTTCAGCACACTCATGCTGACCTTTATTTTTGTATCTTTTCTTGTCAACCTGGCATTAACAAGCTAATCAAAACTGGAGCAATCAGAATAGAAAAGCTTTTTAGATCATACTTAATGCATTATTACCTGCAAATTATTTTCTGACTTCTGTTAGAATCTATAATTATTTATCCTCTTTAACATTAAAAATTGGGGAACAAATTGTGTTCTCAGTTACAGCCATATAAATTCAAAGCAAATGACATCACTGGAGTTATTCATGCAGTTACACTGGTAACCACGAGCAGAATTTGGTCTTTAATCCTTGGAGTATGTAAAGCTGATGATACAGAAATCATTCTCTTCCTTTGGAAATTACAGTGGCCCGGGAAAACAGCCAAACATCAGTCAATTTTTGGTCAGCAGGCATTTAAAAAAACAATCACTTTAGGATGCTGGTGAAACCACTTGATTGTAGCAATTCCTTCTGGGGCAGTTAAAACTTGAAGGATGTATATAGTATGCAAGAGACAGGCTAGATGCAATTAGCTTCTGGGTAGTAAAGACAATATATATTCTGACATGTTAGTTCCTGATGGAACCCTGTCACAGTCCTTTTTCTCTGCATCAAATTTATCTGTACAATGGCTCAAATAGCTGGGGGAGTGTGTTTTTTCTCATTGCCTCCTTAATTTAGCTGCCCTCTTGCTGTATCGGAGCTGCATCCTGGATATATTTGCATAAATAAGGATTCCCCCTTTAAAGGAACTTACTTGTTACTTCTGAGGTCTGTGCAGAGGGTTGAGAAGTGCAGAAAAAATTTCTTCTGGCAACCAGCTCTTGAATTACTCCTTGCTTCAAGCAAGAGTCTGAGGAAAAAGAGAAATCTGCCTGGCTCCGGAGTCAGAAACAGCAGGTGCTTTGCTGTTGTATTACTACAAAATAACCTGTAGCTGGCTTGGAGAGGAGTGTGCTCCACAAGAGCAGCAAGTAAGAGTCTTAAGGAATGCTACTGATCACCAGCAACACATTGGGTGCATCTACACATGCATTAATGTGTCTTTGCTACTACACATTAAATTTAGTACCACATAAATGCACAGTAGCTGGTGCTAATGTGCAGTACCAAAAGCGTACGTGCACGGTCTTTTTGTGACGCTTAATGAGTAGACTAATTCTACTGCATGTTAGTGCATTAGCACGGTTTTTGCCATGATACACTAATGTGCAGTAGAATTAGTCTACTGCACATTAAGCATCTTGTGTAGATGTGCCCATTGAGACTTATTCAGGGTAATGTACCTCTCAGCACTGACTAGAAAGACTGTGGTGGTGGTATTACCATCTTGCAGTGAGAGAACACCGCAATTTTCTCTCACTCCCTAATGCGCAGTTTATACTGTGATCTCAGGTGTTACTTGGAAAATAGGTAACAACATTAGGATCTAAGACAGAAGTGAGATCTTCCACTGATAGTAGTACTTAGTTGCTTTGGGAATTTAGAGATACCATCGTCACTGCATCATGTGCATTTGCTATTTCATTTGAAACAATCTCTAAACCTATATTTGGAAGGCATAATATTTGTTCATGCCAGTTAATTGTGTGAGCAAATACACACTTAAGTCCAGTACCTAAGGAATAATAAGGTGCATCTAAACAGAATGAATAATCAACATTTTTTTTCTCCTATACAGAAGTCAGAACCCTAGAACAATCTTTTGGAAGCTTCAAGACACACATGTCCTGGATGAATAACCTTGTTGTTCAGCACATGACTGCTTCCCTAATGGATCACTGTGATAAAAGCCAACGCGCATCATCACTATTTTGCTTGCCATTGAGGAGGTGCTTTCCAAGGAAGTGGAGTTAATGAGGAGTGTATACAAAATGGGATAAAGGGCAGGATATTCTTTCTCCTTTTTGGAAATACCCACTGTTTTTTCTCTTGTTTCCAGATTGCATTCTAACTGGCACTGGTATTCTAGTTAATGCTGAAGATATAGGTGGGTAATGAGGAATGGAAATACGACATCTGTATTGTCATGGATTCACACATTTGCCATATCTCCTTCCTATAGTTTGAAATTAGTCATGACATAAATTTGTTGCAGCAGTTACAGCTTTGATAGTTATTTGGAAGCATTGCTAGTCATGATATAGCAGGTGAAAATAGACTGAAATCTTCAGACATGTAAAACCAAGATTGCAATATTTCTGCCCTCAGTGTATTCAGTGCTGTTTATGCTAGAACACATTTATTGTAATAGACATGAAATACTAGCTTCTTTCATGAAAACAAACACCCTACATGACTCATATGATGATTTGCATTGCAAATGGGAGCTTAAAATCAATTAGTAATGGAGAGAAGCTAAACTGACAGTGTTTTGACATCATATTTCTTTTTTTCCAAATGCAAGTAAGTTGTTCTAGTGATATGCCTGAAAACAACTGGTTTGTTGGCAAGTGCACTTTAAAATGTGAGGTTGTCAAAATCGTGTGTGCGTAAGTTGACAAGGCATTATCCCAAACAATCACATAATAGAATGTTTCATTTAGATCTGATTTCCCACCTCAGATTGTACAACTCTTGATGGGGCCTTGAAATCAGCTTGCCAAAACTGGGACAGATTCTTCTTCCCATCATTGCTTTGAAAAGCGCTTTACTCCACAGTTAGCCCCATTTGACATTGGTGGTGGTACTGGAATTGGTAGGACTCAGTACTGTAGGGTGCTGAGCATACTGGCAGCCAAGCATGTAAGCAAGAATTTAGCTGACAGAGAGCAGAAGGCCTAATGACTTGGAGTAGGATCCCCAAAGGCACTGGGATTATTCACATGTTAATGTTAAGCCTCTGCTGAAGTGCTTTGCTGGAATGGGCCATGGTAGTCAGGATAAAAGATAAGGGTAAAGGGAGTAGACATTGGCCCTGTGGCTAAACAGTGACTATTAAAAACAAAAGAAAAGAAAAACTGAAAGTAGACAGTTTAGCCAAGACTTGTCTATAATCAAGTCTAATTGTATTAGACATCTTGAATCTCTTCCCTCCAGTAAAACAACAGCTATTGAACTTTGTTAAGTAGCTTCTGCTCAAGCATGGCAGCTTTACTTCACAGCTATCATGTAAGGATTTGACCCTGTTATTGCAATAAATGACTAAATAGCACATGGCTGCTGAGGTGCAGTCACAGGACTATGCAGTTTATTGAAGGTCAGCACTCCTGTGAAATGCCCATGTGCCAGAAGATCATCTTTCTTGTAAGCAAACAAGCAATCAGGAAGCAACCCACTCTAATGATTTCCATATGCTGCTATAACAAGTACAGTACCCTATGATGCTAGAAGACAGGAGCACGAGTGATTAACAAGGCATACTGATAATACTACATGACTAACATCCACAGCTGCCAACTGTTGCTGCTTTGCAAAGAGTATGTTTTCCCTTCTTTTAACTGGCCTTGTTTCAACTTGTCCCCTGTCCAGTCACTGCTGTGCTGTGCTGTGTTTCCCTTTACTCCATAAAAAGCTAAAAGCTATGGAGAACAATTCCTCTCAAGCAGCTCCCGTTAAAATAAAGGAGCTACAGAGGAAGATCATGCAGAATTTGGTCCTGTGGTTATACCTATTTCTTACTGAAAACCTTGCCTTTGGCACCTCCAGAACAGGAATCCAAAGCAGGAGTTAACAGTTGTAAAATATAATGGCCTATCATAAAGACTGTGTCAACATGACAAAAGTCCTGTGTTTTATTCAGTTTTAGCCTCCATGTAAAACACTGAAATTCAGCAAATTATGTGAGCATTGGTTGTTCCCTTTCGTTAAAGGGAACAGGCGCTGTATACCCCTTATGAATGCAAGAAAATTTAGTCAAGTAAATCTAATGTACATAATTACAGAAAAAATTACAGAGCAGCCATCCTGGATTTATCACATACTTGATATGTTGTACATCTAGAACTCCCAAAAGTCCAACTTCTGAAAACACTTACACATGGGTAAGTATATGCATGAGTAGTCCTATTGGTGAGGTTCCAACTCTGTTAATGTTAATAGAAAAACTCCTATTGATTTCTGTGCGACCAGAATGAGTTAACCAATTACTCATGCATTTAAATACGTACAAGCTTGAGATCTAAATTCTAATTGAAATTCAGTTGCATTAACATTGTTACTCAAAAAAAGACTTCTTTTACCAGTACATGTGCCTAGACACAACTTTTGCTGACCTCTGATCTAGAAGACAAGTTTAGCTGCAAAGCTGTTCTCCTCACTGGCATGGAGTAGCATTATAAATGCAATAAAAATCCTGTTTTTGAATATTAGCCTAGTTGACCTGATTAAACCATAACTTCTTGAATATGAGTTCTTTGTGTTACTGCCTTATTTTTGTAATTACTGAAATAGGTAGCTTCTAGTTTGTTACACAAAGGGCACATCTACACAAGACACTGCACAGTAGCTTAATAACATTGCACAGTCATGTGCTGGTCAGAAACCGTGCTAATACACCCTGTGCAGTATTATTAGGTTACTGTTCAGTAAGCGTCACAAAAAAACCACGCATCGGTACTACTGCACATTAGCTAGTTACTGTGCATTTAGTTAGTTCTTCATTAAGCAAGTACTAAACTAAATGCACAGTAACTAGCGTGCATTAATGAATGTGTAGACGTGTCCAAAGTGACCTAGATTTCCTTTTAACCAATGTTATAATTATGCATCTCAACGAATTTAAAACAAAAGCCTCATTGAAGCTAGAGACAGTAGATGAAAGAAATGACAAGTATTACTTAAAAAAATTAGCAGTACAAAAAATTACATCAAAAATGAAATCGTCCTGATTCTGAGCCTGTCCCAGTAGTTGTCCCAGTTCAAACTGGCTGAAGATCAGTATCAGGCCTACTATGAATTAAACGCCAGAAAATGGCAGAGTTAATGCCATTAAAGAAATGGGAATTTGATTTGGTAAGGAACTTGGAATCTGACTTAAAATCCTACACCTGTTTCTAAATGTGTGCCTACATGTCCTGCATGCTTCACTGAGACACCCTGTCAGTTTCCCAAGGCCAGAATTTGGTCCTTACACAAAACCAGCAATGTTTCCTTTTTGCCTTGGTTACCTTGTAGGAAATCAGTGCCATCCACTTGTATTGGTTTACTGTCGCACAATTGTCAGAGGAAGCATTTGATTTGAGGGGATGTGCTTGAACGTTCACTGTACCAGTGCATTTAGTAGGTATGTTTGCTGTACTTTAACAAGTGAAATTGGTGCCACAAAATATTGGAGAGTGCCTTGCCTGAAGTAGGGCTGTTACTATAGGTGCATCTTATTTGCATTTAGGCCAAGAACTCAAGAATTTGTAAGTTTGTTGAAGTCAGTAAAAAAAATTAAAAAATGAGTGTGGGGCCTAAGAACAGTAAGACACAAGTTGTAGGGCTGAAATGCTTTTTGGATATTTTTTTTCTGACTTTTGGAGGACCGTACCCCAAAACATGGCATAGCTGCCTACTGTGCAAGTGAGACAGCATTCTAATGCCTAGGGCCAGCACCTTAGATGCTTAAACTTCCATTGATTTCAGTATTTGTTTAAGCATCTAAGGTGCCTAAATTCCTATTTGAATCTGGCCTCTTAGTCCAAGGGACCAGACGAACCTCTTCCCACTTCCTCTCCAGCTGTTTTAGCACCTGAGTCTACATCTCTGAACTTTATTTTTGCACCTGTGAACTTACTTGGGTGACAAAAATTCTGCTACAGAACTTGCCCCCATTTTGGTTGGCTTAGGCATATCAGCATCTGTCTCCAATGCCAGCCCACTGGGAGACACAAATGGGGTAGGTTTGGACCAAAGTCCTGTGAGGGGCCTGTTCAAATTGAATCTAATACATGGAGTTTGGTGCAAAGCAGAGGGGGCACAGCCAGTTTCTTTCAAAAACACAGCTAGAGGAGGAAGGGGTGGTTCTGGTCTCACATAATACTGTACAGCTTAGAGTACATGCAGAGCATGTGTTCCTTCCTGTTGCCCACGACTCTGCATTTTTGTTGCACTTTGGCACTGTTTGAAGTGGAGAGTTGTAGGATGCTCTTCACACCAACTTATCCTCTTGATTTGCTATTAGGGTACTCTCCTGGCAGATGGGAGGTGCAAATTTGAACCACCTCAGGCTGAGGCGGGCCTAGAACTCCATTTTCTGACTTTCTGGACAGGTGCTCTTATGCTTAGTTATTATGTACAAAATGGTTTCTACTCCTGGCATTATTTAAAAGAAAAGAGTGAGCCAATTGTCCATAACCAGATGGATGACTTGGGCCTCTCAATCCAGGATCCAGTTTCAAGCTGCAAATCCTAGTCTCCCATAGGCACCTAACTCAGGGCTGCAGTCGGGTGCCAAAGTCCAAGAAAGAGGTGGGACTGCAGTTCCCTGCTCTGGATGGGGTCTCCATGCTCAGTGTTTCTGGCTGTGGTGAATCCTGTACTCACCCCATTCATCATGCAGGGACCATGCTTCCATTCCAGGAGCGGAGTACTTGATAGGTGTGGCAACACTGAGCATCGCTGTGCCTAAGCCCCTTTGTGAATCTGGAATTTACACTTCATTTTTAATAAAAAAAAAAAAAAGAGAAATGTTTTAAAATAATCTTCTTCTGGTTGATTCATGTAAAAAATATAAAAATAGGAGCCTAAAGGTACCCTCCCAGGTCCACTGTTAGGCAACACTAACTGATCCAGTCACTGTATGCCCCCCCGGAGCTCCTGTTAAAAGGAGCTGCCAGACACTCAGCGGTTCTTAGACTCAGCTCACTTATTTAGGAATCTTAAGTTTTTGACGAGAGTTTTAAGGCAGTGGTGCCCAACCTTTTGGCTGGTGCCTGGTCTGTCCATGGGCTGGATCTTGCTAGTGGTCCTGATCTGGCGCCTGCCCCATCTGGCTGTGCAGGGAGGGTGGGGGGGCAGCTTGTCCCCAACACAGCTGGGCTGGGGAAGGGGATTTGACCCAGCCCCAACACAGCCTGTGGTGGGGAGGGGGTGTGGCACACTCCAACTGTGGCACAGGATGTGGGCTGTGAGACTTTGGCAGTGGGGAAGGATAGCTGTATTAATTCCCCTGCTTCCCTGCTGCCAAATTTCCTGGCCGGTGAGGAGCTTAGAGGGCCAGATGGCATGGCTGTGTGGCCCAAGTTTGCCCTGTGGGGAGGAGGTTGAGCATCCCTGGTTTAAGGCATTGCAATTGGCATCCAAACTGCTTCAATTTTTGTTTCCATTTGGCTGAGAGAAGTTTTGGCTTAAAAGAGTAAAGACGGGTTTTTGTGAGATGTTATATTTTTGGGGGTTTTGTTGTAAGTTTCTCCTCTTTTTCTCCAGGAAATGCCAAATCTTGTTAGTTTTAGGCCTTGGACGCAACCTGTTTACACCAGTGTAAAGAAGTGGGGGAAACATTCAAGATAAAGCCCTGCATTAACATAACTCCCTCAGAGCTGGCTTACAATTGGTCCAGGAGAAAACCAGGAATAAAAATATACTGGTGTAAGTGCCACTAATGTTAGCGTTGTGTGTTTGCAGCTTATCCTGGGGTAAGCATTTGCTCAAGGCAAATAGGCTATTCCATACTGCCTGCCACTTAGTGGTGAGCCACTGTAATATCCATCCTGGAAACATTCTCTACCCCGTGACAACTGGTCATGTATCAGCGCACATGCCATGTGTCCAGCCCTATATTTGCTTGACTAGTCCCACTAATTTCATTAGAATTACCTGCCTGAGGAAAGTAGGGAGGATATGGCACAGAATATTCTCTTATGTAAAGAATAAGAAATGTAGAAATGAGAAAACAGATCAGCCTATTAGATGACTGGCACCATGTCCCCTGCCAATGGAAGACTGAGCTGGACTGTTTATTTTCTAATGCTTTGTCCTGTCTAATATGTAAAGCCTCTGGTTTGCACAGTTCCCGTAATATTCCTGTGACATCATACATCCAGAACTGATGTTCTTTGTGACAGCATAAATGTTTTGTAATTGGTGGGTTGGGGAGGGCAGAGTAAAATGTGAGCACATTCTAGACAGTTTGTATAAAATCATGTGGAGTTTCAAATTATATGTTACAACTCTGTTTACCTAATAAATAATGTTTTAAATGAAAGAAGTCACTTGGACTCTGTAGTAATGTGTGCCAAAGAAAATAGAGAAATAATATTCTTAATCCTTATCCAGCCCAAAGTTCCCTCCAGCACAGTGATTCTCAACCAGGGTGTTGGGCCCCCCTGGGGTTCTGTGAGATATTTTCAAGGGTGCTGTGAGTTACTGCACAATTAGGTGTGCAAACACCTACATATGACTCATAAGACAGAACCAGAGATTTCAAATAGGAATCTACAGTGTCCAGAACACTGACCTCTTGTGTCTGACTTCTTTGCAGTAGAACAATAGCTCTGTTATTTTTCTGGAGTCAATAAATGAGTGAAAGTTAAGGACTGGCATTTTTTGATGGGTGCCTTGAATGCAATGGTGCCTTGAGTCCAGCAAAGTTGAGGACCACTGCTCTAGAAACAGTCAAGTTCAGTCAGCCCTGGATGGATGGGAGTGCCACAGTACTTCTATTACTACATCACCCCTTGAGCAAAAAGTATGCATCCTCTTCTGCAAGGGACTGAGCATCCTTAGTTCCTCTTGGCTTAGAGGGAACTGTGATACCCTGCATGCCTTCACAAGCAGGCCTAAGTCCCCAAATTAAAAAAAAACACAGGAGCAACTCATTGGCTTACAGCATATGTTTTGATACTACATCCATTGGTATGAGCATCAAGGAAGCTAGGGGCAAACTCTTGGGTGGTAAATTGAAATCAGGGAACTTATGATATTTTGTACCAGCTGAAGAAAGGGACCCCCATAGTGGGGATTTTTATATACTTAATTTATAAAGCTCAAGTTTATTGTGCTTATTTGGAATGAA